TATATGTTTATTTTATATATTTATTTATTTATTTAAAGTTTGGGGTCAGTAAAATTGTTTCAATAAAACCTTTATTCAACAAGGATGCATAAAATTGTTCAAACACGACAAGAAAGCCATTTATACAGTTACAAAGGATTTCTATTTTAAAGAAATGGTTATTTTGAACTTTCTACTTATTAAAGAATCCTGAAAAAATGTGTTTTGGTTTCCACAAAATATGGAATATGAACAAAACTGTTTTCAACATTGGCATTTTTAATCAAATAAATGCAGCCTTGGTGAACATGAGACTTCTTTCAAAAACATTAATTAACAGATCTTAATACCAATCCTAAACTTTTGAACTTTTTTCAAAAGTATTGTATATTTTATATATTCTTCCAAATATCTGATGCAAAAAATTAATGTATTATAACTAAATCATATGTGACCCTGGACCACAAAACCAGTCATAAGGGTAAATTTTTCGAAATTGAGATTTATACATCATCTGAAAGCGGAATAATATTTGGCCGAGATACAACTATTTGAAAATCTGGAATCTGAGGGTGCAAAAAAATTGAAATATTGAGAAAATCGCCTTTAAAGTTGTCCAAATGAAGCTCTTAGCAATGCATATTACTAATCAAAAATTAAGTTTTAATATATTTACAGTAGGAAATTTACAAAATATCTTCATGGAACATGATCTTTACTTAATATCCTAATGATTTTTGGCATAAAACAAAAATCAATAATTTTGACCCATACAATGTACTTTTGGCTATTGCTACAAATATACCCCAGAGACTTAAGACTGGTTTTGTAGTCCAGGGTCACATATGTCTGTTCGCTTATACAAGTTATAGGATACCTTTTTCTTAATTAGCTTTTGTTAGGGCTGTGCAATATATAGAAATTATCGAAATATCGCAAATGTACATATCGCAATATGCATATCGCTACAGCTTGCAATATTTGGGGCCATGAACAAAAGACAAAGAGAAAATCACTCACTGCTCTTACCTAAATAACTTTTGTAGCTTAAATAAGAATCAGTGCATATTGAATCCAAAGAGTAAATACTACGCAGTGTTTTATTTTTCCTTTTTATTATTCAGTACCTAAACTCATGTTAAAATGTGGCACTTTAAGCATTATTGTATCGCATATCGCATTATTTAATGAGTTATCGCATATCGCATTTTTCTTCAATATCGCACCGCCCAATTTTTGATTCATGTCAGTAGCATAAGCAGCCAGAGTTAAATTTAAAAGTAGGACAAGCATCACTAATAAGATTATTACAGAGGGGTGTTATGTTTTTACGTGACGTTCCAACATAGATACACACCGTCACCCCTCCGTCTTTCATATAAGTTGATAAGGTGGAGTTTCGGCCCAGTTAACGCAACTGACCTTCAGCAGACATGAACAGGTGATGATGGCTGAGCAGGCCAGAGACACTCTCGCTCTCAAACACACACATACACGTATACACACGGACACTTGTTCCCCTCCCCGCTCCTCCCTGACAGTCACAACGCTTTGAAAAGTTCATTGCTGTCAGATGGAATGTCGAGCGGTCTCCTCTCGCTCACACACGCAGACCTCCCTCCCCTCGCCCTGTCCGCCCCTGCCAGATGGATGCACACTCACACACACCTGCATGTTTGATACCAAACTGTCTGAATCTTATTTTAACAGCTCTAGTATCAGTCGTGACGTTAACGCAGAGATATTGATCCATTGAAGTAAAAAAAAAATGTGCATGTGACCATGTCCAAACCAATAAACACCTGTTTTATTCGATCTAGGCGGCGTCCCATCCAAAAGAGGGCACACTTTGCGGGCTGCAGTGCTTAAACCACAGAGCCAAAGTCAAGCGCTGCTGAATCTGTCACTTAAAACAAACAGTGTGAGTACTTGGATTCATAATCACTGCTTGTGTCCTTTTGTGTTGTATGTTACATCTTTTGTGTGTGTTTTTTATTCCCAGTGAGCGCCGTCGAGTGTGTGAGCTTGGTGGATACTTCAAGTCAGGCGAAGCAATACTCTTACCATCTAAGGCCATCCAGTGCTGGCAGTCAAAGCGGTCAGAACAGAACCAAGAACTAAGACACAGACATTCTTGGATTTCTGGGAATCAAATCTTTGCTTAAGCAATACAGGGATGATGCACTTAAACTCAATTTGATGTTTATTTAAACTATTGCATTAAGGTACAGTAAACTCACGTGGTCCGTATCATTAAGCTTTTACATATGAAATCTGCAGTATCATCTTATTGCATAGGTTAGAGGTTAAAACCACAAACACAACAAATATATTAGATAACCTTTCATTCTGTCAACAACAAGTCATATACCTGTCATAAGGGTGACATAGGACTTGCATAACAAGACCACCTGCATGGGAGACCACCGTGTTAATACTCTTCAGTCGAGATGTCACAAGGCAGATGTCAGCCTATTTCTGATATTGCCACAGATCTAGACATTGTATTCTTATACTCCACACCCCTATTTATTCAGTGGGTTGTATTATTGTTTTATCTATCACTATAAATCATTGTACTCTTTTTATTATTAATGTATTATTTTAAAATATATTTAGTAATTTATATGTTAAAAAGTGAAAGAGTTGCAGGTCCTGTTACCGCACAGACTTTGCCTTTTATCCTGAGAGAATAATACTTTTTTAAACTAGTGAAACATACACTAACATTCAAAAGTTTGGGGTGTAATACATTTTTTTCAGGATCCTTTGATAAATCGAAAATTCATAAGTTATTGTGTAACCGATTTGTTCCCATTTTTAAATTCAAGATTCTTTTAGAAACTTTAAAACAGCAGATGTCTTTGTTCCAGCTGCTTTGAGTAAATGCCAAATTATTTCACACCACTTACATTTCTATTGATTACCAGACAAAAACACTGGTTATTGTAAAAATCCCTCTCCAGGTCTGTATTAATAAATGTTTTTGTAATAAACTGAAATATCGAACAATGAAAGAGCCTAATCAACTCATTATCACAAGATGTGTTTTCTTTATTTTGTACAAAATGACTGAACTGGAAGAAAGAACAAAAAAATGTTGTAGCAATGAACACTATAACAGTCAGTGATTAATAGATGTCGCTCATGCCCATGTTGGCCCGGTGACCAGACAGAGTCACACTGTAGCAGTACAGCAAGTCAGTCAGCCACTGCTCTCGAGTCTCTCCACCATAGAAATGCTGTAAAAACAGAAGCACAACAGTCAAGACGGTATCGGCAGCTCAATTTCAAGGCACATAGTATTATAAAATCTATTTTAAGGTAGGGTAAACATAATGCCCGTTTTATCTGTTAAAGCAAAGCTGAAATGGATATATGCAGTCATAAGGAGCCATATATGTGTGTGTACCGTTAAGTCTTGTATGATATGTTGCAGTAGACTGGCGTTGGCCATCATGTGGTTGCGTAATTGAGTATGCTGAAGAAGTAATGACAGGATCTGTGCCAACACGGGGAGCTCTTCCTCACAAAGGTCACACACGCAAAAAGACTGCAAGACCAATCGCAGCAGCCTCGGTACCGTGCTCAAGGCGGCAAAACATGCCTCCCACACGGCATCCCTGACGGTGAGACAGACAAACATAAGTTGACAACTACACTTTTTGTTTGGACAACTAGATCATATTTCTTTAACCACAAGCCCCAGTTTGTAACTAAGACTATGTGCTATACTATGCGAAATAAGGTGGCAAAATGTAACTAATATAACTTGTTGATATATTAATTATATTGTTAATTACATAAATATTTAAAATTATTGTAATTAACACGCTTCTCATATTACAGAAACAAAAAAATTTTTTTTTACAATCACCGTTTTTCAATACTTCACAAAACTGAAGTGAACTGTGGATCATTTTCCATTGTTTTGGCACAAAATACATTGTGACTATATCTTTCAAATTACATGAATTCTTTTCATACTCGAGACAAAACTATGTACCTACTGGCCAATTTGCATACATTTACATATTCTTTTTAAAAACTGTTAAACTTAAGTTCAAAACCTAATATAAAACTATAAGGCAGCAATCTGCGAAATTTCTACAGCAATGCCATATTGGAATATTTATTTTAAAACTAAAAAATTAAATAGAGGTAGCTGAACACCTACATGTGTTAGTCTTTCAATTTCATTACTATATCTACACAAAAAGGGAAAGGTAGTAATAATTTTGTACTGTAATGTATATATGGACCATGTAACATATACTGCAGTGAATTCTAAACAGTAGTTTTGTAAAGACATTTTAGAGAAGAAAACATTGCATGTTATTGTTTTTAGGTCAGTGTTCTCTGGGTGTTGGTTGACAACCATTGCTAATGTTATGGAAGAATTACTTAATTCGAATCATGTATGAAGTGTTTTGGTAGTTTTTGTGCATTCTGAATGTGAAATTTACTGCTGTGCCAAGCTGAAAGTCAGTAAAGAAAATTGTGTGAAGAGTTTTGAAAAAGTGGCCCAAGTATCGAGAAATGTGTCCTATCGATTTTATAAAAAAACTGCAATACTGTTGCTGAATGAATAGTGTTGACACTAACTATTTTTTTAGGAATTTTAGGAGCATCAAAACAAGTAACTATTTTGAAAAAGTATGAATACCCTTTTTGGACTTTCCCCAGTCTTGTTTCTAACTTCCCTTGTATGCTGTATTATCAAACAGTCTTTCTTCGTGTACACTTGGTGGTGTTTAAATGTTACTCTATGCAAATATTTGTGAGTGTGTGGGTGTGCGTGTTTGTGAGCACACCTCTTGTGGGCGCTCTCCTCCAGTTGTAGCAGCAGATTGAGCATGCTCAGGCAACAGTCAGACAGGAAGTGGAGGAGTGTGTCGCTGGGCAGGAAGTTGACATCCAGTAACCGGGAAACACACCTTAAAATTGCTGCACACACACAGTCTGGCACCACCACGAGTCCACACTGCAGAGACGAAGAGCGTGTCACCGCAAACCGTGCCTTGCTCCACTGCCCACTCGTATGCAAAACATTCAGCAGAAAAACACACGTTCACTCACCAGATTCTTAATGATGGCGTTCTGTATCACATCAAAACACTGTGCACGAGATCCTAGAGAGTCCAGGCAGTGGCACACCTCCTACAAACACAGTGCAGAAATGTTTAGAAGCTGTGCAGGTAAATTAAAGTCTTCACACTGTAGAGTTAATGCTGCTCTGAGCGCTTCCAAATTCTGCATAAATGTGCAATGTGCTGATTTGGTTCTGTGTACATGAAATGCAGCATCAATGGAGCCTTAATGTCACATAAAACAGAAATTGTGATCCACTCTTCCTCATTATTGTGATGTAAATATCCAAGTGAAGTAGCTTATTGATCGAAAAAAGGACAGGACTTTATTTTGTCCATAAGGAATTGATTGGATCATAGAAAGTGGGTGTTGCAAGCTAATCAGGCACGGTTTTTTATTTTTTATAATAATTATGTGCATTTATCACAACTCATTTATGATAATCATGGCAACATTCCAAAAAAAATAAAAAAAATAGTAAATTTTGATTTCATGGTAACTTTAAACTTGTCTTTGATAAAGTATATATTTGACAATTTATTATTTTTAATAATATTTTATAATTACTATATATTTTATTACAATTCTAAGTTTAAAAACACATTTGAAATCATATTAGGGTATACATTTTATAAAAAAAACTAATTTATAAAGTTAGAAAATATATACCATCATTGTAAATAGAAATGTGAAATTATAAAGTATATATTTTATTAAAATAAAAAACAATTCAATATATTTTGATTATAAAAAGAAATTATACATTTATTTTGAAATTATATGAATTATATGAAATATATATTAAACTAAACAAAATTTGTAATTATCAATAGAATTATACATTTAGTTTTATAAATACAAATATCATATACCTCTAATATATATATATACCTCTAAATTCTAAGTTTAAAAACACATTTGAAATCATATTAGGGTATACATTTTATAAAAAAAACTAATTTATAAAGTTAGAAAATATATACCATCATTGTAAATAGAAATGTGAAATTATAAAGTATATATTTTATTAAAATAAAAAACAATTCAATATATTTTGATTATAAAAAGAAATTATACATTTATTTTGAAATTATATGAAAATATAAAAATATATATTAAACTAAACAAAATTTGTAATTATCAATAGAATTATACATTTAGTTTTATAAATACAAATATCATATACCTCTAATATATATATAT